GCCATTTCACACTGCCCATGGGCGTGCCGCTGAATGGCAGCGATGGCCCAGGGCTGAAAATGAATTGAAAGGATGAGTTTGGTGGTACAGTGGTACCTCGGGTTACAGACGCTTCAGGTTACAGACTCCGCTAACACAGAAATAGTTCTTCAGGTTAAGAACTTTGCTTCAGGATGAGAACAGAAATCGTTCTCTGGCGGTGCGGCAGAAGCAGGAGGCCCCATTAGCTAAAGTGGTGCTTCAGGTTAAGAACAGTTTCAGGTTTAGTACGGACCTCCGGAACGAATTAAATACTTAACCCGAGGTACTACTGTGAATTCTGGTGCTGGAGGAAACTTTTGATAGTCCCATGGACAGCAAGAAGATCAAACCTCTCCATTTTTAAGGAAATCAGCCCTGAGTGCTCACTGGAAGGACAGATCCTGAAACTGAGGCTCCAAGACTTTGGCCACCTCATGAGAAGAGAAGACTCCCTGGAAAAGACCCTGATGTTGGGAAAGATGGAGGCACAAGGAGAAGGGGACGACAGAGGACGAGATGGTGGGACAGTGTTCTCGAAGCTACCAGCATGAGTTTGACCAAACTGCGGGAGGCAGTGGAAGACAGGAGTGCCTGGCATGCTCTGGTCCAGGGGGTCACGAAGAGGCGGACATAACTAAACGACTAAACAACAAATCAGAAGGGGGTGTCATTGGGGAGTGGGGCCTGTCTGACCTCAGCTAGAAGGGATCTTCACAAAATCGGCCCCACCCTACTGAACTCAGGGCACAAGCAGAGACATGAGGAATCAGCTTAAAGCAGTGCAGACCAGCGCTTCTTCAACTAGTGTGTGCTTAGGCTGTGGAACTCCCTGCCACAAGAATGTGACGGCAATCAACCTTTAGGAGAAGGAACTGGCAAATTTGTGGGCTCTGCCCTGCCTCCGTGGCCAGGCAGAGGCCAGGATGCTTCTGAAAACCAAGTTGGCAGAAACCACAGGAGGGGAGAGCTGCTCTCGCACTCGAGTCCCGCTTGAGGGTTTCTCGCAGACCTCTGGTCGGCCGCCGTGAGAAAAAGGGGAGGCCGGGCTTTTTGGGGCGCTGCAGGTTCTTATCGTGTTCTTATCGGATGGAGCAGCAATTCCACACAGAATAAAACACAGAAGAGCAAGCTGGAACATAGCTGTCAACCGTCTCCTTATTTGGTAAGAAAGTCCCTTATCCCAGCGCCGTGTCCCACCGCTGTCCCTTATTGATGATGTCCCTTAAATTTCCTAGGTTTCAAAGGAAGCAGCTCCTCTCCCTCCCTCCCTGCCGGCCCGGGAGGAGGGAGGCTCCAACTGTGTTGCTTGGCTGCGTTGCTCACCCAATAAGGAGTCTAAGAACGACTGGGGGGTGGAGCTTGCATGCCTTGTGCCAATCAAATCGGCCGCGTTGCCTGGGGACTCGCCTTTGCTCAGCGCTTCCCAGCGGAGAGGTGACAGTGGTTTTCCTTGCTGCATCCCCTTTGCCGGGTTGCTGCGCTGTGGGAACCACCGCTTGAGGCTTCGTTTGGCTGCTGGCTGGGCTTTCTGCCTTTGGCTCGGAGGAGCTCAGAAGTTGAACATACCTGTGCTTGGAAAATCCCTTATTTTGGCTGCTGATCCCTTATTTTCGAGGCTGCTGGTCCCTTATTTTCAAATCTATAAGCTGACAGCTATGAGCTGGAAGGGCATTGCAAGCAAATTGACAAGCTCTGTGACCTCTGAAAATGACAGGGCAGTTTGCTCAGACATACAGTAAAAGGAATGTAAGGAAGAAGCTTCAAATAGCTTTTGCCCTGCCCTTATACTCCCAATATATTTCTATTTTTACTTAAAAATAATAATAAATACCGTAATTTTTACAGCCCACGTACTCCTGAGCAAACAGGCATAAGCTTGCAAATATAAAACTATATGATTACGACAGGACTGGGGTTTCCTTCAAATATTGCCTCTGCAAAGACAGACTTGATTTCAAAGAAATATTTTTGCGAAACAAAATAAATGCAAATAGGGAAAAGGGAAAATGGTGGTTTATTATCCACCCTTTGTATTACCATCGCTTCCAACCATCCCTCTAATAATAGATAAAGTTATAACTTGTTCCCGTGTAAAAGCTCTGCATTTGCAAAAAAAAAAAAGAATTTTTTTGCAGGTTCTTGCACAGGGAGGCTGAAGAGACTACAACACCCAGAATGCACCGCGGGACAACCCTCCCCAGCACACGCACCCCGCCCCTCTCCCAGTCGTTTAAGCATCCTGCCTCTCTCCCTCCTGATTAGTCTCCCCAAGCTCTGACGTCATAGACCCATGTGGGATCCGGCTTCGCTGATTGGCTACCTCGCCTGCCCCGCTGCAGCCAATCAGCGGAAGCCTACAGTAGCAGAAGCTCGGAAAGGCAATTTAAGGTGGAACGGAATTTCCCCTTTCACAGTGCTATTTTAATAAAAAGTATCTCCTGTTATACTGTGTATATAAATATATGTTTAAATAAACTCTTTGCAGACGTTGTGTAGGACAACACTGGGGTTTTATTTCTTTATTTCGTGAAATGTATACCCCTCTTGATTGTAAAAATAAATAAGGCACTTTACCAAAGAAAAGAAAAAGATAAAGCAATAAAATCATCACTAAGGAAAACGGACAGCAATAATTTAAGACACCCGGAAAGTTAAAATAGCAATAGTCTGAGTTACTGTATCACGTGGGATTTATAAGAGTCTCTGCCACCATCTGCTTACAAAACCGGCTCCTTTTCAACGTGTGAACTTAAAAATATCCCGAAAATATTCTTCCCGCTACCAAAGAAGAGCACAAAGCCTTTCTCAGTCCAGTGCCTTTGAGGTGCATAGATGCTGCTGTCCAGTTGAATGTTAACCTGTGGAACTCTCTCCCACTGGAGGGAGTGGTGACAGCCGATTTGGGGGCTTGGCTTCAGAAGAGGATTAGACAAAATCATGGCGGACATGTCTTTGGGTGGCTACAAGCCACAACGGCTCCGCTCTCCTTCCATGGCCAGAGACGGCGATACTTCTGAATTCCTGTTGCCGGAAAATTGCTCTTGGACTCAGATCCTGAGTTCCACATAAGGGAAATCTAGTCAGCCTCTGTGAGACAAGGCATTCTGAATTAAATAGGCCGTCGGCCCAATCCCAGCAAGTTCTTCTGCTCTTAAGTGTTCAAATAAGTTAGTCACGGTGTAAAGGTAAAGGGACCCCTGACCGTTAGGTCCAGTCGTGGCCGACTCTGGGGTTGCGGCGCTCATCTCGCTTTACTGGCCGAGGGAGCCGGCGTACAGCTTCCGGGTCATGTGACCAGCAGGACTAAGCCGCTTCTGGCGAACCAGAGCAGCGCACGGAAACGCCGTTTACCTTCCCGCCGGAGCGGTACCTATTTATCTACTTGCACTTTGACGTGCTTTTGAACTTCTAGGTTGGCAGGAGCATGGACCGAGCAACGGGAGCTCACCCCGTCATTACGGGGATTCGAACCGCCGACCTTCCGATCGGCAAGTCCTAGGCTCTGTGGTTTAACCCACAGCGCCACCCGCGTCCCTAGTCCCGGTGTACATACCATCAAATCAATTACAATCTTTTTTTAAAACGACAGCAATTCCTAAGGATTTGTATTAACCACAGGGGTCTAAACTTTAGAATCTAAAGTAAAATGCTCTCGAGTTAGGCTGCCCTCCTCGCACAGCCGGCTTTCAAAGCGAGCGGCTTCCTCAAAATAACCCTGGGGACTGTAGCTTGCCCCCTTCACAGGGCCTGCAAAGCTCAGGACCCCAAAGGAACTACAGTTCCCACAAGCCCTGGTTGTGTGCTTTGAATGAATGCTGTGTAAGGAATAGAACTGTAAGGCTGGAAAAGACCACGAAGGCCGGATCTAGCCCAACCAACCCTTTGCTTTTTCTTTTTTTTTATAATAATATTTACAGTGGTGCCCCGCAAGACGAATGCCTCGCAAGACGGAAAAACCGCTAGACGAAAGGGTTTTCCGTTTTGAAGTTGCTTCGCAGGACGAATTCCCCTAAGGGCTTGCTTCGCAAGACGAAAATATCTTGCGAGTCTTGAGATTTTTTTTTCGCTTTTCCCCCCCTTTATCTAATCTGCTAAGCCTTTAATAGCCTTTAATAGCTTTTTAGCAGCTAATCCCCTAAGCCTTTAAGCCTTTAATAGCCGCTAAACCGCTAATAGCGCTAATAGCGCTAATCCGTCAATGGGCTTGCTTCGCAAGACGAAAAAACCGCTAGACGAAGACTCTCGTGGAACGGATTAATTTCGTCTTGCGAGGCACCACTGTATTCCAAGTTTAAAGTTACAAAAAGAGAAAAGAACAATACAAAATACAAAAAAGAATATAACAATAACAGAGCAAGAAGTAAAAAAAAAGAAGAAAAATTTAAAAAAACAAAAGGTATAAAAATACATTCAATTGAAATAGAACAAAAACAGATTAAACCTTTACATGACTTTCTTCCTTTACTTATTTCCTTGACCTCCTCTCACCTCCCAATTTTGTATTCTAGTTCAGATCGTTTTTTCAGCAAATCCTTCCAACCTTATTTTCATTTACGTATTTTAAAATTTAAATAATGTGATTAAACCTCCTCTGTTTCATCAATTTCATCAACTCATTTTTACTTAATCCTTTATATCATATCTACCAAAACTACCTAATTTTCTTTTTCCAACATCTTTCTAACAGTCTTTAATATTACAATATTTTTGAAGATATACTTTAAATTTTTTCCAATCTTCTTCCACCGACTCTTCTCCTTGGTCTCGGATTCTGCCAGTCATCTCAGCCAGTTCCATATAGTCCATCACTTTCGTCTGCCATTCTTCTCGGGTGGGTAATTCTTGTGTCTTCCAATACTTTCCGATGAGTATTCTTGCTGCTGTTGTAGCATACATAAAAAAGTTTCTATCCTCCCTTCGCACCAATTGGCCGACCATGCCCAGAAGGAACAACCAACCCTTTGCAAGGCAGGTATCTTTTACCCATCGTGGAACTCGAACCCACAACCCCAGGACTGAGAGTTTCATGCTCTACCGACTGAGCTATCCCAGCAGTCATCGTTGCTTCTTGTTATAAGCCAGTTCCCGCAATGAAAGACAGACTAAATCGGAGCCCGAAACTGCTCAGAAGTTTCCAGCAGGTGTTTACTCCTGTATTGGAGTACGATTGAGATTTTGCAGGAGGACTTGCAGCTCCAAAACAGCGAGCCGCTTTTTAGTCAGCTGGTCTTCAATAAACCGCTGTTCCTTTATAAGAAGAGCTGGCAGGATCAGGGCAGTGGCTTGTCTACCTATTGCAGGGGTCAGCAAACTTTTTCAACCACTGTCCCTCAGACCTTGTGGGGGGCCGGACTATATTTTGGGCGAAAAATATATGAATGAATTCCTATGCCCCACAAATAACCCAGAGATGCATTTTAAATAAAAGCACACATTCTGCTCATGTAAAAACACGCTGATTCCCGGACCGTCCGCGGGCTGGATTGAGAAGGCGATTGGGCCACATCCGACCCCCAGACCTTAGTTTGCCTACCATGGTCTATAAGATGCCCCCATGTATAAGACACCCCTGGTGGGAGGGCGTTCCACAGGGAGGGTGCCACCACCGAGAAGGCCCTCTGCCTGGTTCCCTGTAACCTCACTTCTCGCAGGGAGGGAACTGCCAGAAGGCCCTCGGAGCTGGACCTCTGTGTCCAGGGTGGACTATGGGGGTGGAGATGCTCCTTCAGGCACACAGGGTATATCCAAAGACAGGTGTGAGATGCTGAAGAAGAAGAAATGTGTGGGTGCCGGACTTCCCTAAAGTCCTGGTTCCAGTAGGTGTTAGAATTTAATCAAGGCTTGGGGAGTTAAACTGGATGCCAGACTCCTAATTCCCGTTCAGGAGATCATCTGGGAGATGGGCCATTAGGAGAACAAAGGGAAGGTAATGGGTCATTAAGAAAACCAAGGAGAGGAGGCTGTGTGCTAGATGGAAAATGGGTGGGACCCCTCCTCCATCTCTGAGTTAGTTAGAGAACATGTACCATAGTTTAGCATTGAGAGTTGGCTGCGATGCGGCCCAGAGGTTGCAGGCTGTTAAAGGTGGCAAGCTGGGGAGAGGGCCAGAGGACAGCTGATTTCTGTTTGAACCCGAAGCCCCAGCTATGAGGGGGAGAGGTTGCAAGCTGTTAAAGGTGGTAAGCTAGAGAGAGGGCCGGAGCATGGTGGCTGATTCCTGTTTGAACCCGAGGCTCTGGCTGCGAGGGGAAGAGGTTGCAGGCTGTTAAAGGCGGTGAGCTGGAGAGAGAGTGTGCCGGCGCACAATGGCTGGTTTCTGTTTGAACCCGAGGCTCCGGCTGTAGGAGAAAATAGTTGCATATATGAGTCGATAAACCACGGATCCTTACGATGGGCTGTTGTACGTCTGTTAATTTCCCGGATATTTTTTTTGAGATTTTGCAAAGAAAGCTCAACAACTTTTGCGTCCGGATTTCCCCTTTTTGACAGACGGCAACCCTACCTTACGACACCCAGTTGCGACTCATTCCCAAAAGGAAACAAGAGGTTTCCTGGAGTCCGGCACTGCTCGGGAATTGGAGAGGTGGGCAAAAATTGTTGTTGTTGTTTAGTCGTTTAGTCGTGTCCGCCTCTTTGTGGCCCCCTGGACCAGAGCACGCCAGGCACTCCTGTCTTCCACTGCCTCCCGCAGTTTGGTCAAACTCATGCTGGTATCTTTGAGAACACTGTCCCACCATCTCGTCCTCTGTCGTCCCCTTCTCCTTGTGCCCTCCATCTTTCCCAGCATCAGGGTCTTTTCCAGGGAGTCTTCTCTTCTCCTGAGGTGGCCAAAGTCTTGGAGCCTCAGCTTCAGGATCTGTCCTTCCAGTGAGCACTCAGGGCTGATTTCCTTCAGAATGGAGAGGTTTGATCTTCTTACAGTCCATGGGACTCTCAAGAGTCTCCTCCAGCACCAGAATTCAAAAGCATCCATTCTTCGGCGATCAGCCTTCTTGATGGTCCAGCTCTCACTTCCATACATCACTACTGGGAAAACCATAGCTTTAACTATACGGACCTTTGTTGGCAAGGTGATGTCTCTGCTTTTTAAGATGCTGTCTAGGTTTCTCATTGCTTTTCTCCCAAGAAGCAGGCGTCTTTGAATTTTGCGGGCAAAAATACACGAGAGCAATTCTGGATCATGCCAGCGGCCTTTTGAGATCTGGCGTCCTGTGGTCACCTGGGAAGCCAGCAAACAGCATCCGACCACGAGAGCAACACCCTCCCCTCCTGCGGTTCCCCAGCTCTAACCACTAGCTGCTACTGCCCCCCTTCCAGAAAGCGTGATAAGCCGCAGCGGTTTGGAGGCTCGTCGTTCTTCGGTTTGGAAGATCCACCTTAAGCTTCCCGTTTGAAAGATCATCTTCCCCTGGGCTCGCAAGAGGCAGCTCCTTTTGCAGACAGGGACTGCTGTTGAAATCCGGCCAGATTTTCGCCTGACCTTCTGTTTGCGTTCTCCCTCTCCAGCTCCCTTCCCTCCACGCACCCCACCCCGGCCAGCCGGCCCCCCCCCCGACAAAAAAAACCCCCAAACATTTCCTCCCTTTTCTTTCCAACAATTGCACAAAATCTCCTTTTGCTCCCACCCCAGTGAGTCTCCTGACCCCCACATTCCAATGGGGGAGAATTTCCTCCTCTGCTACTTCCAGCCTTCGCAAAGGAAATACTGTTTTTTGGCACGGTTTTCTTTGAAGGGATATAATTCTTTTTAATGGATTAAAAGGGAAAAAACCCAACAACCCTCTACTTAGATCTGTGGAGCTTCGAAACGGGGGGGGGGGAGTTTTTTCTCTCTTCCCCCCTCCTTTTGCTTTTCGAGTTATTTTCCCCCTGGATAATCTGAAAGAAGAAAAAGGATTATTTCCTTTCTCCTCGGGTGGGGTTTTTTTTTTTTTTTGGAGGGGGGGTTTATCCCCCAGGATGTATCCACAAGGACGGCATGCTGTAAGTATCAATATTTGGGGTGTTGTTGTTTTTTTTGGGAGGGTCGTTGTTTGAAGGAACATGCCAAAATGTTGTGAGAAATCTGGTGGAAATAATTCAAATCAATAGCTTTTGGTGAAAGAATCTGGGTTTTTGTGTTTGTGTGTGTTTTTTTGGAGGGGGGGAGGAGAAGGGGGTTTAAACTGTGCCAGGATTTTACACCTTTGCAGGTTAAAAAAAACCAAGTAGACCCTAGGCATCTTTACTCAGAAGTAAGTCTGTGTTGAAGGGGGCTCCTCGCTCGGGAAACCTGTGCCGAAACCTTGGTTTGGGGAGATGAATTATCCCTTGAAATCCTATTGCTTCTCTGATATACTGGATAACAGAGGCAGTTCTGCCTCCCCATCCATAATTACGGATTAATATTGTGCTTAGAGTGTTGTTGTGTTTTTTTGCACGGTATATTTTTCTCCAATGGGGTCTTCCCCAAAGGAATTAGGGGTGTTTCAATTTGCAGTTTAAAATGCAAAAATAGAGGGGGGAAACTTAGCATTGTTTGGGCGACAGGGTCTGGCGACAAACTGAATGCGAGCCGCTAGCTGCAAGGAGCGGCAACTCACTCAGGGGTGCAACAGGGAACCTCGCTTCCAGGTAGACATTCCTGCTGCCTCATTTGCTTCAGCGGGGGTTCCTTGATCCGGGCGCGCCTGGCGGATGGTTGTGGCCGAATTAGCTTCTCCCTGCCCGAGGCTGGTTGGCAGGAACGGGAACTCGCCAAGAGAAGCGGCAGGCAGCCTCTCCCGAGGGCAGCTACTAAGGCCGGGTCTGTGCTGTGGGCACAGTTCAGAACAACTACGGGCACAGAAATAAGTTGACCCGAAATGAACTTCCTGGGTTTTGTTCTTGTGATGCGTTTTGCTTTTCTTAATCTTGTATTTTTATGTTGTGATCTGCTCCAAGATCTTAATAATAAATAGTGCAGAGTGGAACCCGGATCTCTCAAGTCCTAGCCGGACGCTCTAACCACTGCACAACCGCTGCCTCTTTGTCCTAAAGAGAGATGTTTTGGAATCTATCTATCTCTCTCACGCACACAAATTGTGAGGTCTTCCTGCCCTACATAACTTTTGGGCACCGTAACTTTTTCGGACATGGTTTTCCAGCTGCCAAGGGGATGGCACTCTTACCATGCTCAGGGGCCAGGGGCCATTCTTCTCTGCAGGTGCCTCCCTTGGAATGGCTTGAGGGGAAGGCAGCGAAGCTGGTCAGGGTTTCAATACCCAAAGGAGTTTCTGGAGCCCCACCCCCCAAAGCCCGCGAACAAGTTGCAGATTTCGGTTGAGCGTTAGGAAAAAGTTATTTGGCAATGGGGTCCATAACCTAGAGAGGTGGGGTCCCTTCCTCGCTGGAGGAGTTGAAGGAGACTACAAGCTGTCAGGGAACTGCGAGATTTTGGCGTTTCCTCCCTTGACCCGGGGTTGGGGTTGGACTAGATGACCCCTAAGGACCCTCTTCTCACTTTTACGAGCCTGCTGATATTTCGGAAGGGTCTCCGAGGCTTCTTCCTCAAACATGAGGAAGGAACCAGGGTGGGAGTCGTGGGTCCCCAGCAAATTAATGTGCCAAGGAGGGAGAGAGCAAGATCTGGAAACCAAGCCAGATGAGGAACGGTTGAAGGAGCTAAGAGTACGTATAGCCTGGAGACTGAGAGGAGATAGGATAAAGGTAAAGGGACCCCTGACCGTTAGGTCCAGTCGTGGCCGACTCTGGGGTTGCGGCGCTCATCTCGCTTTATTGGCCGAGGGAGCCGGCGTACAGCTCCCGGGTCATGTGGCCAGCAGGACTAAGCCGCTTCTGGCGAACCAGAGCAGCGCACGGAAACGCTGTTTACCTTCCCGCCGGAGTGGTACCTATTTATCTACTTGCACTTTGATGTGCTTTCGAACTGCTAGGTTGGCAGCAGCTGGGACCGAGCAACGGGAGCTCACCCCATCACGGGGATTTGAACCGCCGACCTTCTGATCGGCAAGTCCTAGGCTCTGTGGTTTAACCCACAGCACCACCCGCGTCCCTTCAAATATCTGAAGTGCTG